AAGGAATCTAGGACTCAGATATTAGCTGCCCCCTTCCCAGTCCCACAATGATTGATCTTTGGCTTGGCTCTGCAGGCCCTTTGTCATCCTACATCCTGGTTCCTGTTGAAACGTGGCCACCATCGCTTCTCATTGCAGCCAGTGAGAGAGGCTGGCCCTTTTCCTCAATGTCAATTTTCAATTTCCAGGAAAGAGGGCTGATTGGAAGAGGGCCCAGCCTAGCTGGGATCTGGCACGCCTGGACCAGAGATGACCACGGGGCAAGGGCAAAAGGGGGGCAACCGCTTTCTACCAGTGTGGCACATGCTGAAGTCTCAGTGGGAAAGCACAGGTGAAAGGGAGATAGTCCCGAGGACAGAGAAGGAGCCCCAAACCTCAGAGCAGATAGTAGGATAAGCTTTGATTCATTCTTACGGAACATGTCTCTGTAGAGTGGAATTTAACCTTTCTCCATTTTTTCTGGTTATTTTTTCTTGAGGCCATCTCCAGTCATTCTCTCCCTTTACTTGTCTCTCTAGTTACAAGCTCTGAGCTGATTGCTGTGGCTTGCTTGCCCCGAGGCAGTTCCTCTTAAGAAGATAAATTCCACAGGATTGGACTGATAATCTCTCTGTAACCCACCTCTGTGGTCTGGGAAAATCTGGGTTTAATAATTAAAAACAAAAAATACCTCCGTAGGTTAGAAGGGAACATTAATATTGACTGACTCAAACCCACAAAAGGGAAGCAGATATGAGAATCATTTTGAAAATAAGAGTTCAGTTTAGGATCCAGTGGGAAAGGAAAATTGTTTAGCCCCCCTTTTGAGGAATTTATCAGAAATAAGGAGTGTTCTTCACCTTCAGCTTTGAGGCAGCTTCTTCAGCCTGGGCAGCGTTGTCTGTAAAGCATATGTATTGTTAGTCTTCAGTTGTGTTCCCTTTGTGTGAGTCAAGTTGTCATTAAAAATTAGTCGATTTTCCACATTCTGTTCTGATGGAGGTAAAGTCTTGTTAACTTCTGTAGGACTTACGTGCAGGCCTGTTTTTCCTATAAAACACGCTTGCTGGTTTTGTTTTACTCATTTCTGAGAATGGGCTTCTAGCAGCCTTTAAAACCCACACCTTGTTTATTACTTGGATGTTGTCTTAGAGGTCCTCACTTTAGAGTACAGAAGCAGAATTATATCACTCCAAAAGTGACAATGCCTAAAATACGCCTTCCCGCCGCCGGGCGTCTCACCTGCCAGGCATATGTCCACTCGGAGGTCCTTGAATGGCCTTTGGGTAGCTGTCAGACCCAGAGCGCCAGCTCCAAAATACCATAGGTGTGTTAAAAACTCTACCTGATTGATTTTCTTCTCTTTTAGTCTGTTTAGTATTTTCTGAAAGGTTGCAAAGAATGCTGGGTGAAGCCCATCCTGAAGCTGCAGTCATTGAGGGCCTAACTGTGTCGGGGTCCTGGTTTAAGATGATCACAGATGGCCAGGGAGATAGCTCAGAGGTCTTAGCACCCACCCAGCAAACATAAGAACTGGGCTTTGATCCCTGGCACTGCCGCACCAGACCTAACCCCAGGTGTGCAGAGCCAGCCACCGAAACCAGGTGTGGTGGCGCACACTTGTAATCCCAGCACTGGGGAGGCTGGGATGAGCACTAGGAGTCTGAACTTCATAGCGAGACCCTGTACCAAATAAATACATAAGTAAAACATTTTTTTAAAAATTGGTCACAGGGGCCTGGGAGATAGCTCAGTAGAATAAGGGCTTGCCTGGCAAGTGCAAGGGGCTGAGTTCAATCCCTGGTTCTGCAAAAAAAAAAAAATTTGGTCAGAGATTATGCTTCAAGTTCCATGACCCAGAACATGAGTTAAGTCCTGAATTTTAAGTACTAAGTATTATTGAAAGAACAGCATGGTAGAGAAAGCATGCGTAGGGGAGCTGCATCACCAGGAATCACATCCCGCTCTGAATCTCAGCTTGTCTATATAGTACGTCATCTCTTTTTTTCTTATTTATTTATTTATTTATTTATTTTTGTGGAACCGGGGATTGAACTCAGGACCCTGTGCTTGCCAGGCAGGCACTTACTCTACTGGGCTATCTCCCTGGCCCTCTCTTTTCTTTTTAATTACTTATTTATTTGGTTCAGGGTCTCATTACATAGTTGTACTCACAGTGATACCTCCTGTCTCCGCTTCTCCAGTGCTGGGATTGCAGGCATGTGCCCTCACGCCGGGTTTTGGAGTCAGCACAGTGCTTCCATGTTCATGCGTTACTGGGGGTTGAACCCAGGTCCTTGTGCTTGCCAGGCAGGCGCTTAGACTGCTGAGCTATCTCCCCGTCCCTAGCAGGCATTTCTTTGGGGACAGCAGTGAGTCTGTGAAGTTGTGACCCACAGGTGGCAGGTACTGGTGAGCAGTGGACACGTAAGTGTGCTGCGTGTATTCTGAACATCGCAGATTTCAATTGATCGTGGTCACTAGACCTGCCTTCATCAGCGAGACAACTGCAGCCTTAGGAAAGCGTTGGCCTTCCTAAGCCAGCTGACCACCCAGCCTGGGAGGTAGCCCCTCCTGGTTACTTCCTGAGATGCGTGACTAAGTGGTCTCCCCCCAGAAAGTCACCCGGATGCTGCTCTGCTGGCCCTGGTGCTGGGAACACCAGTGGACTTGGGGGCAGGCGGGCCCGTGGCAGCTGGCTTTTCACCCAGAACTCTGTCACCTGCTGTTTCCGTCTAAAAGTCAGCAGTGTCCAGTGAGTAAGAGGAAGGTTTCTGAGGCCCTCCTCCCAGCTTTGGTCCTGCTGTGCTGGCTCGTCTCAGCCCACCTAACAGGTGCAGGCCTCTGCTGCTCCGCCTTAAGTGGGCTGTGGTGACGTCTGCCTCCCCTGTGGGCTGCTGTTGGACTTCAGTGAGAACGTGCACCTGAGAGTTGTACAGCCCCCAAGCCCATGGTGGTCACTGGCAGATGTTCATTGCTTTCATTATTACCTGTAAAATAGCAGCACACTCCCCCCTCCCTTCAAGGCATCTGTCCCCAGCGCAGAGATAGTGTGTCCATGGGAGGCCAGGGATACAAGTTTAATGTGTGCAGTGAACAGCTTAGTCGGGTCGTTGACAGGGTGGCAGTGCAGAAGTAAATCCTATTCCTGTGTAACTCCAGGGAGCGGGAGAGGGATCCCCTAGGACGGAGTGCTGCCACCGCAGCCCTCATCTAGCTTTCTGACAGTTGCGGAAGGCCGTGCCTACCACATGCTGCTGGCTCTATTTTACAGGCCAGGAGGTCAGCACTCTCCGGGGGTGGTGACTGGCTGGCTGGCGCAGTCACAGGCAGCAGACCCCCAGGCCGTCACTCCTGGGTGTTGGCTGCCTCGAGTTAGGAACGCGAAGCCAAACATGTTGCCCTGCAGACCTCCCCACACCAAAGTAGGGAGGTGCCACAAGGAGGCAGGAGGGCGCAAGGAGGCAGGAGGGCGGATGCAGTGTAGTTTTACAGATTAAATGGCATTGTGGAAGAAATACAATGTTAGAAAAATCTGCCTGGAAGAAAAACAGAAGGGCTGGGTAGATCAGTCATATAGAGCTGATTCTTAACCTGGGCCAAGGTAGGGAAAGGGAGTGGCTGCGTCCTTTCAGAGATTCAGAGAAACGGGCAGATAGAGGGTGAAGACCCAAGAGCAGCGTCCTTGGACTGTCCGCTGGAACGGGCTGAGTTTTCACTTTCACTTCGCCTCTTTCCACCTTCCCGGTGAGAGCTGAGGCCCGACAGGGCAGTGAGTAATCGCTGCAGCAAGCACTCTGGGTGCAGCATTCCCAGCTCTGAGTGCTGCCATCGGGCCACCCTGCCCTTCACTAGCTGGGTAACATGGACACCCCTGCCACCCTGTGGGCCTCGGCTTCCATGTCTGTTCAGCAAGGGAGTGTGATTCCACTGGTTCAGTCATTCCTATCACAGACGTCTACTGAGCACCTTACGTGTCAGGCATTGTTCTGTGCGTTGAGGATTCAGTGTTTTCATAAGAGCTAAGAATCTCTTCCCTCCTGGAGTTCACAGCATCATGGAAACTGCAAGGCCGCCTCCACTGTCACTGATGCTGGGCTCTGGGGCCTCCCTGTGGAGGAGGGCTCCCTCCACAAGCCCTGCCTGCCAGGCTTTTAGCAAACTGCACCAACAGTTGAGGGGAGAGTGTAAGAGACCGGCTTTCTTGTTGAAATTTCTCTGTCCCTTTTTTTTGTTTGTTTAGTGTAAATATTATTAGACGATAACATTCACTTAGAGGGGTACACAGACAGACAGACAGACAGACAGACAGACAGACGGAGAATTCTTATGCATGGTAAGCAGCTCCACACCAAGAAACAAAACAGCCACCCTGGAGAGAGAGTCCATATGTCCCTGCAGTCCCTGTCCCTCCCACGTGGAAAAACGAGCCCCAGACTAGCTCGTGTGAGGTCTTGGTTTTGTTAACTTTTGGGGGTCCTTTTATACTGGCTCTTCACTGTGGTGTATTTGTAAGTTTCGATGATGCCACTTCCTGCTGTCATGGTTGGTGTATTCCAGTGGTTACGTGAATACTCAGCAGCTGAACCATATAGATTATTTCCTTTTGGGGCCCTTTGTTATATAGCGACAATGCCGTGGGCACACGGGTGGCTCTGCTTTCTGGCAGACCTCTCTGTGTCACCCAGGGTAGTGGCTCTGTCACGGGGTATGCGTAAGCTCAGTTTTCGTGGACTCTGCCATTTTCCCCAGGGGACATGCAAAACAGGTTCTGCCTGTGACATGTGATGGCTCAGATGCTGAGCACTCAGTTTCTTTCATACCGTTGCCACCCAGGTCATGTGTAATGGGGTCATATTGTGACGTCCATTTGCATTTCTGTGACATCTAACAGAACATGCCAGGGAACTCTGTTCAGTTAAGCAGAGCTGTCTGCAGCCCAGGCTTTGACCCCATGGCCTGCCGGGGCGCAGAGGCCGCTGCTTTCAGGCTTACCCCTGACTGGCCGGGTATTTCCCCAGGAAGAAGAAGAAGAAGAAGGAGGATGGCTCCACACAGCCAGCCAGCACCCCCAAGGGGGAGGTGCCGACCTACAAGTATAACATGAATTTCGAGAAGATGGGCAAGTGCATCATAATAAACAATAAGAACTTCGACAGAGTGACAGGTAGGTGGTGTGGGCCTGGGCTCACTGCTCCTGTCCCATTCCGTTTTCTCTGGTTTGTTTCCGATGTTCACTGGTGAGCACAGTGCCCACGGCCTGTGGCACACAGTCCCCTGCCGGTGGAATTCCTACATCCAGGGGAAAGGCATGCAGAGAAACCGAGGCCTGTCGGCCTGAGGACCCTCTGCGCAGTAGCTTTCAGGGACTTTGACCAAGGAGCCCTGTTGGGCTTTGATGGGGAGTGGGAGTTACCACCAGAAGATCCACCTTTTATGGATGGGCTAAGTCCTCTATTGAGCTTTCTTCTCGTTGCATTTGCTCCTTGATTTTGGGAGCTTAGAGGGCATTCTGGGTACCCCGAGCATTTGGGCTGGAGCTGGGGCTAGCTGCTCTGAATGTCTGAGCTGATGAGAACTGGTGTATTGCTCCTGCCTGGATTCCTAGATTCATGGCTTGATTCTCACAGGCATGGGCATCCGAAATGGAACCGACAAAGACGCTGAAGCCCTTTTCAAGTGCTTCCGTAGCCTGGGTTTTGATGTGGTTGTTCATAATGACTGCACCTGTGCCGAGATGCAAGCTCTGCTCAAACGAGGTGAGCACGTACCCTCCTCCCATCTTGCCCCTGCATTGAGGTGTCTGGAGGTTGCTTTGCAGGACAGAGAGGCTTCCGTGTGGGATGCTTCTGAGTCCTGGGGGAGGTAGGTTTCTTTCATAAGACATTGATATCTCTGTAAAAAAGATGAAGTCAACTTGAATTCCAGCGAGAGAATTAGGTTGTGTATGTGTAGAACGGTCCCAGTTCAAAAAGGTTGATTCCCAGGGAAGTAACAAATCCGTAGCCTCGTGTCCAGAATGAAATTAAATGGAAAGCGATCCTAATGGTAGACAGAGAAGACCAGTCACTATGTCCTTGGGAACGGCTTTATTTTCTGTACGGCACATCCATGATTTTATTTCATTAGGCCCTTGACACAAACCCTGCAGTACTGGCCGTTAGTCTTATCCTGTCCATTTTATAAATGCAGGGTGCAGCTTTTGGGAGAATACAGGATCTAGTAAAGAGCTGGTCAGGGGCAGAACCAAAACCCATGCTTTCGTTTTCCAACTCCAGGACTGGTGCACGTCTGTCCCACACCATCTGACAGCTGTCACCTGTGATGCTCTGGCATGCAGGGCAGGTATTTGGAAGTAAAGTCCTGCCCGCTCAGTAGAGAGGGACCCATAGGCAGCAGATGGTTCACTCTTGCTTTTTCTTAGTTGCACATGTTGAAAACAAAAAGATCCAATCCTCTCAGAGTTTCTCGACTAGGCATCTTCTCAGTTTTTTCAAACAAGCTTAACTCCAGTAGCCTAGCCGATCATGTTGTGGAGCAGACCAGAAGTCGGTAGTTCAGGCTGCGGGTCTTCCCACAGCGAGGTGACCCAGGCAGAGCAGCCATATCTTCCTGATTGCTTTGCTTTCCTGAAACATGGACCATGATCCCCGCTCTACGGATCTCTTGGGGTTGGAGGAAGGATGCACCAAGAGATTTGTGAGCATGCTTTTGGGAAGATTTTGGGCCTTACCTCAGGGCTTGGGCCAGCTCTCATTTCTGTTGTTGCGAAGGTGAATTATTCTACCTGAGATCAGAGCATGTCCCCATGAGAGAGTTCTTAATTTTATCCTATCAAAAGAGTGAAGTGGCTCGTTCTCTTGGCTCTGTGCTGTAATAGGTTCCAATGAGGACAAAATTCTTCACTTTCCTACTTGAACCTCATTCATCTGATGGTACAGTAAGCTGAGAGTTTCCTCAGCACTGCTGTGTCTGTTACCAACACGAATGCAGGAATCACCATACAGCTCTCTGCACAAGGATCTGTGATTAGAATAGGAGTCATCTCCCCACTACCCGGAAGTGCTGAGCAGGGGTCGGGGGACCCCGTACTTGAAGCTTGGCCCCAGGGTGTTGTACCACCTGTGGGCAGGGTTATGACACCACTCTGAGACTACATTTTTTTAATCATGAAATAAAAATAACTGAGCCCTCTTCCATGGGGCTCTTCTTGGAGTTAAATAAGATAATTTGCATCAAAAACCTGGGTATCAACAAATAGTGCCTGTGAAATTCTAAATTTTCCTCACCCATCCGAGAGAGAAAAGCTGCGCTGGCTAGTGAGCATCACGGAGCCGTGGATGAGCCAGAGCTCAGTCAGGGTGCGATGGAATCCGCAGTTATTCTTGCAGTGTCTTTCACTGACAGTCAGCCTAGCGTTTTTTTTGTGGGTTTTTTTTTAAATTTTTCACTGTGGCAAACCAAACACAGAATAGAAGTGACCACTTTCATCCTTTTTAAGAGAGCGTGCTCACATGGTTGCACCAACACCACCACCATCGACCTCCGGGGGTCCTTTCATCGGCCATCATTTCTGTCAAACGTGAACACCTGTTTCCTCCTTGCTGCTAGCAACCACCGTTCTTTGCCCTGTAAACCTGGCTCCACTCAGTACCTCATCAAAGAACAGGCATACAGACCTGTGCTTTTGTGACTGGCTTCTTTCACTCGGCTGAATGTATTCCTTTCTTCAGAAACGTCACATGATGCTTAGCATGGGGCGCACTGTACAGATACTAACTCGCTCAGCGGGGGCAGCCACCTCTGCTCCCCAGGCAGGAAACTGAGCGCCAGGATGGCCGGGTAGCGCCCCAGAGTCCCAGAAGGGGAACAGCAGGGCCCTGCCCTCCTGCCCCCGTGTCCGCCTTCCTGGTACCCCTGGGCACAGGTCACTCCTTATGAGACTGCCTCGTCCTGGCTTCAGACCAAGCAAGGATTCCAGAACTCTCTTCTGTCTTGTCTTCTCCTGTCATGGCCTCTTCCAAGGGTGTTCCACACAAAGCCCAGTCTTCCTGAGAAGCCTGACCCCTGCCCCTACTCCTGCCCTCTCTGGTCCCCCTCTCATGATCACATGGGCTGCCATGGCCGCCTGCAGAGTACTGCATCTGCACCCCCGCAGGACCTGAGTGTTATTTTGAAAAAATTTTAAGTAGAAAAAAATTAAAATTAAATTTCAAAACAAGATAATAGGGTAACAATGGTTAATACATTGCTTATTGTTATCTTTAAATTAGTTACTAAGGGCTGGGAACATAGCTCAGCAGCACAGGCGCCTGCCTGGCAAGTGCAAGTTCCTGGGTTTGATACCTGGTACCAAAAAAACGAAATAAAATTAAAAAATAAATTAGTTACTCAGAGTAGAAGCTACAAACATTTAATTGTCCAATATTAGTGCAGACCTTTCTTTTCAATGAACTAAAAGAAATTGGTAGTACAGCTGTCTTGTGTGTGTGTGTGTGTGTGTGTGTGTGTGTGTGTATTTTCTTGCCTTTCCCTTCCTTTCTTTTTCCTTCCCCCCACCCATTTCTCTTTCCTTTTGAATGGTTTCTTCCTATTTTACAGTATCCATTGTACATTTTGTTTTTTTTTTTTTGTTTTTGTTTTTTTTTCCATTGTACATTTTGGATCTCATTTACTCTTATAGCTTTTCACACTAGGGAGACAATACAGTGTTGGCACATGCGCGTCTGTCTTATTTCATTTATGAGTCTGGTCTTGAGTTGCCTCCACTGACCTATACCAGTTCCCAGTTTGTCTTTCTTTATGGCTGAGTAGCACTCCCTAAGCTTCAATGCTCCGTTGTTCATGTTGCTCCCGTGCAGCTTCCGAGGAGGATCATACCAACTCAGCCTGCTTCGCCTGCATCTTACTAAGCCATGGAGAAGAAAACTGTATTTATGGAAAAGACGGCATGACAGCAATAAAGGATTTGACAGTCCATTTCAGGGGCGATCGATGCAAGACCCTCTTAGAGAAACCCAAACTCTTCTTCATTCAGGTAATCACTTTTCAAAGCCAGTGTAGTTGAAAATGGGAGAACAGGAAACCCACAGAGTGACTGGGATGGCGTCATGCTTGCAGATCTGCAGTCTGTTTCTATCGGGATATGCAGATCGGGGTTCGGTTCTTCTGCCTGTGAATGGTGGGTGTGGGTGTCACTTCAGATCGCCAGCACAGTGCTGGGCTCTGAGCAGTAACTCCACTCACCATTCACCGACCATCTGACTCCTCGAGTGACCTCTGCTTTGACACTCAGGCTTGCCGGGGGACAGAGCTTGATGACGGCGTCCAGGCTGACTCGGGGCCCATCAGTGACACTGATGCCAACCCCCGCTACAAGGTCCCAGTGGAAGCTGACTTTCTCTTCGCCTACTCCACAGTTCCAGGTACCCAGGCCACGATCTGCCAACCTCAGTCTGTTTTGCAGTCCTGCTGTGCTTGTTGTATTTTTCTGCTATTGTTGGAATTAATTATGATGTGAGTGTTTCTAATCTGAAATGATTTGAAACTCAGAACTCTGAGTGCCAGGGCCACGCACCAAAGTCCAGGTTTTGGAGCATTTCCAGTGGGGCATTTCTTATTATTAAGGATGTTCAGCTTATAAAGTCTAGGTATAGGGCTGGCCAAATAGCTCAGCAGATTAAAGCACCTGCAAGCAGGTACAGGGGTCAGGGGTTCGATCCCTGGGCCTGTTGTGCCAGCCCTGCCCCCAGGGTGAGCTGAGACTGCAGTTGAGACTGGGTGTCTGTAAACGGGTGGGTCACTTTGAGTCCAATGTAGTAGTGAGACCCTGAACATCCTGTAGACCCTTCCCTAAAATATAAGAAAGCGCACACACACACACACACACACACACACACACAGTCAAAATAAAGTCTAGGTGCATATTCCAGAATCTAAAAAGTCTGAAGCCTGAAGTGCTTCCGCTCCTAAGCACTTTAGATAGAGTATTCAGCTGTGCTGCACGGCATATTAAAGCATAATAATTAATGCATTATCTTGCAGTCTGAAGGTCAGCATATCAAGGTAGAATGACAGGGCTACCCTGTCTCTGGAGGCTTTGGGAAATAATTCACTTTTTTATTCCAGCGTGGAGGAACTTCCTGTATCCCTTGGCTTGCTGCCCTTGCCGCCACCTAAAGCCAGCGCCCTCCCTTCTCCCTGTCCTCATTTTTCTGGCCACTGCTGGGACAGGCCCCCTGGGATTCAGATGGGGCCAATGGGTCACCCCCACCTCTCCATTCTGTAACTTTAAGCACATCTGCAAAGTCCTTTTTGCCAATGAGGAAACATAGTGACAGGTTTTGGGGTTAGGGATGGGCACTTTAGGGACCATTATTCTGCCTTCCCTTCCCTTTCCAGAAAAGTAGAATTCTCTCCTGTGTTATTGCTATTATTAATAGTAATTGCACAAGAAAACATTTCTGTAGTACTTTATAACTCAGGGTGATTTTTGTGTCATTCCCTTATATCATCCTTACTGCAAAAGTGAAGATAGTTGAGGAAAATGTTACTGCTATCTTGATTTTACAGATTAAAAAAAAGGAAAATGAGTTTGAATGATGTGTCCAGGGTCAGAGATTTTGGTGTCCAACATCTGGGCTGTGGTTCAGCTGGGGTCCTTTACCCGCTGCCTCCGCACAGATAGCAGGGGTTGCCAGTCTGAACATGTGGCCTCATTATTCACCACGCACCATCCTCACCTGAGTCTATTTGGTGAAAGTCCACCCTTCGCTTTGGGCACAAAGCCATCCCTGGTCAAAATTCTCCTAGCCGTATCAGCAGTTCCGTCAGTTGCGTGATGCGATGGTATTGGGTACAGAAAATAGGTCAGTGTGCTTGGAAAACCAGTTCTGGGAGGATCTTCAGGTGGGCTTGTCGGGAGAGAACGTCACAGGTTCTAAGGGTTGTAGGATCCAGAAAGCAACTTGGTGTCACCCTCGTTGTAGGAAGCAAGCAGTGTGAAGGGTGGGTGTGGGTGTCAATATTAACAAGCCTAGGGGTGGAGTTACTGTCACTCTGCCTCCCCCCGAAATTCACATGTTGAAGTCCCAGCATCCTGTGTCACTGTTTGTAGTCACGGCCTCTATGGAGGTAACTAAGGTTAAATAAGTTCACAAGGATGCTGAGACACTGGAGCACTGTGGAGGGGCTCACTCACCTCCCTGGAGAAATCCCCACGCGCTGGCTTGTCTACTGTCTGCCAGGTGTCTCCTAGGTACTGTGGGGGTGACTGCAACAGAACAGGTACAGGAGGATTCTCTGGCAGCATCCACCCACCCTGGCCTGGGCCTAGGGGATGTTGGGTATTCCTGGGTTCCTGTGCTGATGTGTCCAAAGCCTTTTGAGCATCTTCGTGAAGCTCTTTCCATCTGTGGTGCTTCTTTGCAGCACATCAGCACAGTCTTCATGAGTGAGGGACATGCAGGTAGAGGGACATAACTTCCAAAAGCAAGCGTGAAGGCTCCACCCGGGCCCTTGCGAGTTCCTCCTCTGCGGCGGGGAGTGGCTACTGGCCGAGCTCAGCAGACCTTCTCGTTTCTTTCCCATCAAAGGCTATTACTCTTGGAGGAACCCAGGCAGAGGCTCCTGGTTCGTGCAGGCCCTGTGCTCCATCCTGGAGGAGCACGGCAAAGACCTGGAGCTCATGCAGATCCTCACCAGGGTGAACTACAGGGTGGCCAGGCACTTCGAGTCCCAGTCTGATGACCCCCATTTCAACGAGAAGAAGCAGATCCCGTGTGTGGTCTCCATGCTCACCAAAGAACTCCACTTCCGCAAGTGACCGTTCCCTCTGAGGGCTGAGAAGCCAGGGGGCGGTTGTGGATGGCTTAGGTCACCATCTTGACGATTATTACTGTGATGATGATGATGATGATGATGATGATGATGATGATGATGCTCTTGAAATACTCAGAAATGTTACGGGATTTTAATTTCAGGAAAATTTATTGAAATTTTCAGCAGGGAAGAAACACTCTGGTGCTGACTGATGGTCTCTGAATTTGCAGAGACTTCTTTTTTTTACAATGTTATTTGTTTGATGACTTTGTAATTTCTTCCTCTTAAGGTTAGCTTTTCTGTTTGTGTTTCTTTCACTTTGTTAATTGCACTTAGTACCCACAACAGAAGTGACCTCTGGAGAAAATTCTTGACTGTGTCCACTGTCACTAGTGGTGACATTGGTGGAATAGAGTCCTGCCTGCACTTGGCAGAATAAATCTCAGCTCTTGACAAAAAAAAACCAGCTAACGAGATAGTCTGTGTAATGCAGACAGGGGGGATTGTGTGGTTTGAGTGACTGTTCATTGGTTTAGGGCAGATTTTTATTCACGCATTCCCAGGTAAGAAGGAGAAAAACATCTGATGACTCCAGGGTGTATTGTGAGGCTCAGTCCCCAGACCAGAAGTTATTCTAGGTGTTCCTGGAGAGAGAATTTAATTTAAGAAATGGTGTGCTTAGAAGTTGAAAAAGAAAGAAAAAAAAGCCAAGCAGCAGAAGGCTGTTACCACAATCGGGGCTTGGGGACAACAGGAAGAGGGATGACTTCCTGAGCCAGAAACTGGAGTGATGGTGGGGACTCCCTGCCAGGAGCTGGGACCACTGACGGGACTATGAGAAATGGAGCCACCGTGAAGACAAAGCCACTGGCCGAGATGGTGATGATGCCAGAGCTGAGTCAGATGCTGAGAAATCCCCAGGCCTCGTGTCTGTTGTCCATACATCCTCACCAGCGTCTTTCCCTTCCAGCCGTGTCTGGCAGCTAGCTGGTCAGGCCCCCGGGAAGTGTGGTTTCCTGGGGTACAGCCCAGAGCCAGGGCTGGTGAGCCTGCAGAGAAGAGCCTGGCGTGGGGTGTAAACATACTCCTTGAGGCTCCACAGCGCATCCATTGAATCGTTACACACTAAGTTGTCAGATAAGCTACCCATGTACGAGAAGATCTGTTCCTGCTTTGTGTGCAAAATAGTGTCATAGCTTTAAAATCTGCCCAGAAGATTTCAGATAATTCCAAATATCATTCCAAGTACATTTTTTGTTACCCCTAATTTTGTGAAGAAGTTTATAGCAGATTTTAGGCACTTTGTTTTCAAGACGGTAGTATCTTTTGAATTCTTTATATATTACTGTTTCCTTGCCTGATAACTGGCTAACCAATGGTCATATTTATCGATTAAAATGTGACTGCTTAATTCCTAAATGGCTCAGGTTGCTTTCCTTGTGGAGTTCTTTCGGTACGGGAAAATGAGAAAAGAACAGAACTGACCCGTCTACCAAGACGTAGGGGAAATAAAAAGAACACACGTGTGCCACCACCCCACGGTGAATATGTTCATTTCAACATGCCAAAGAAAAGAAATTCACCCTAGTGACTTGACCTCAGCACAGAAGTCACTGCATCGTTTCTTTTGGAAGCTAGAGCAGAATAAGTAAATAATCACTTGAGAGACAAAGACTTCACATACAGGGTTCATCCACTCGTAAAGCCCTTTGGGATGAGCTGCCATTTATTAATTTGACCAAAATATCAAATGATATAAAAGTACCTTCTTTCAAATAAGAAAACTGGTTTGAGAAGCAGTTCATTAGACTTGTCCCTGGTTTCCTGCCATTGAAAAATATACCCAGTGTTCAAAATGTAAGTGGAGATCATGAATTAAGAACCAACAGGCGTCTGCCCTGCTCTGCCCAGAATTCAGAGCTGTTCTCTGTAGGTTGTCATCTAAAGGCTTGTAGTGTAGAAATAAATGTGCTTACGTGTACTGTAATTTGAAGTAAAAACCATAGCACTAAATTTGCTTTGGAAGCCTCCTTTAGTGGAAAGAAATCCTAAATGTTAGTTAATTTTGAGCGTGTAGAATGTGCCAAAGTTCAGAACCTTTTGAATACTCACAGTTTCAGTTTTTCAATTTCTGGGTTAGTAAAGTCATTGCAAGCCCTTCAAAAATCTGAAGAACTGAAATCTGAAACACTCTTGGTCTTCAGCATTTTATATAAGAGGTGGTCTGTCTTACATCTCTTAGACCGGAAATGTAATATAAATTGCTGCTAAGAAAAGTACCGTAGTGGCACAAGCCTGTAACCCCAGCACCTGGGAGGCTGAGGCAGGAGGAGCATTGCAAGCTCGAGGCCAGCCTGGGCTACAACGTGCGCTCAAGGCCAGCCTGAGCTGCGTAGCGAGACCCTGTCTCAAAAAGACCAAAAAATAGAACAGTGCCTTGTAGGGTATGGGTCAGTGGGAAAGTTCTAGAATATGTGAAGCCCAGGGTTCAGTTCCACAGCACACACACACACATATACATGCACGTGCACAATAAAGAGAAAGAAGAGTGTCCTTACGGGCTTCTCTGGCGGGCAGTGTCGCTTACCAAGATCAGAAGTCCTGGTCCAGGTTGGCCACCTGTCAGTCAGTCACACCTCTGCTTACACTTTCTAGTCTTCCTGTATTCTGGAATTCTAGCAATGCGCTTCCCTAGGAGGAAACACAATCCTGCTGAGTACGCACCTTTGCAGCTCTCACGATTGGGAGCCCGAGTGCCCGGTGCAGGAAGGCCCAGCAGCCCAGCCTTTGGCACAGCAGTGGGACAGTGTGGCCCAGAGCACCCTTGGGTAAAATGAGCCCAAAGCCAGGTTACTATTGGCTTTTCTTCCAGGTGCCACTGACCTATTTAAAGTGATAGCTATTAATACCATCACAGGTTCTGTCCTCGGCTTTCTATGCCCGAGCAGATTACTGCAAACGGTGGTAAGCTATGACAAGTCTCCCATTGTGTGCACATGAGTTCTTATCTCAGTGAAATGAAATCCTGCCTGTGAGAAAGGCCTCTGCTGACAGGGCACAGACATGGACTGGCAAATGGAAGATCTTGTATTTTGTCTTTGGTTGCCTCACGTTATTACCAGCTCTCTGGTGACCCCAATTGCCTTTTGAATTTGTAAGGGCACACCCTTCCCTCCAACTTTCAGGCCCTTTTCTAGAAAAGACCCGTGATAGCCACCAGTTTATGGCTGCAGTTTGTGTCATATTTGTCCTTCAGTCTCCATGAGAAATTGATCCTGGAAGTGGTCCTATGATACCAACACCCATGTAGGTTCCGGCCCCTTATATAAATTGGCATAATATTTACATACAATGTGTGCATACCCTGTATAATTTAAACCATCTCTAGATCAATTTTTATATGATATAATCTAGATTAATTCTAGCATCTATAAATATTATGTAAACAGCTATTATATATTGTTTAGGGAATAATATCAAGGAGAAAATAGTCTACACATTCATTACAGATGCCTTTTCTTTTTCACGTATTTTCAATGGTTGGTTGATCCACAAGTACAGGATGGAGGACTGATTATAATAGATGAGGGGGACACATAGTGTCACTCCAGATGAGAACAAGAATCTGTGTTCTAACCAGCTCCTGATGTGTTCTGACCCATTGTTCTGACCCATCGCTGGGATTTGAGGAACACTTCCAAGGGTGAGAACCACACATTTAAGTATTTTTGTTTTCCCTCTACGCTGAACTTGGAGCTGAGAGTGCGATACATGTATGACAGCTTGAAGTTTTCATGGAATTCCTTACAAGCATCTCTTGCCTACAGAAGCCCGTCTGATGCCCTGTCTTAGTGTGTTGTGCTGTTAACAATACTGTAGGCATGAGTATTGAACTCACAGTTTTAGAGCTGGGAACTCAAAGGGCATGGAGTCGCCACTGTGCTGCCGCAGCCTGGGAAGCTGGAGTGTGTGGGCTACTGTGGGCAGCACGTCCTCAGGACCTCCTCTAATGCTGATGACCTCCCAAAGGCTGCGCCTCCAGAATTGGGTTTTAAACTTCCCCACACTTCAGGATGAGGGGATGCAAGCGCAGGGTAAGCGGTTCACTTTCTAAGCCCATCTGCATCTTAAATAAGTCTTCTCTAAGTGGAATACTAGGGCTGTTTACATGCTCGCATACTGAACGTGAATTGCAGACCTGAAGTGCCTTCCTAGGCATTTTCATTGGCAGCAGGAGCTATTATGCGGGAAAGCCTCCCGTATAATAAAAAAGCTGGTCCCTCCCACCTATTCTTAGAAGCCTAAGAATTGCTACCTCTCCTTGCCAGTGTGTCCTCAGACCACTGATCACCTTTTTGATGAACCTCAAGGCTTTGTTTGAATCAGATGGCAAACAATTCTTTTGGGTTTATAAATCATTAACACAAACACACCTGGACATACATGGAAAGCCCCAGCCACCACCACATTGGAAATGCCATTAGCTTGTAGGCACGTGCATGAGCGGTGCTCTAAAAGGACATGACCAGTGTGTAAAAATTCAGCAGCCAGATATCACGAGTTGGCTTTGGCGTGCGTTTTGGTTTATATGGCACCATCAGTGTCTATGGCACCGCAGTTTTCTAACAATTTTGCTTTAAATGTTTAAAGCCAAGACATGCCAAAGCGTTTAAATTTGAAACAAAGATGATGGCTTCCAATATAGAAGGTTGAGCATTTCTTGGGTTTTGATGGACTGACCCAAGCATGGGATTCAGGAAGGATTTGGAAGAGAAGTGACAATGACAAAATAGGTTCAGTCAGCATCATGGGTTTCAGTTGTTCAACACAGGGATTCCCCAGCCCCACCCGGTACCTGTCCGCGGTCTGTTGGCGTGAGCAGCAGGTTAGTGCGCCAAGCTTCATCTGTGTTCTACAGCCCCTCCTCGTCACTGCGTCACCGCCCAAGCTCCGCCTCCTGTTTCAGAAGCAGCTTAGATTCTCTCCTGAGAGTGAGCCCTACTGTGAGCTGCACATAAGAGGGATCTAGGTTGCCCTCCTTAGAAGAATCTAATGCCTTAGGACCTGAAGTGGAGCTGAGGTGACGATGCCAGTGCCCGGCAGTGAGTGCGAGTGACACAGCAGACAGGTTTGGATGCACAGACCGTAATGTATCAACTGCTTAGAGACTCGTATCAAAACCTACAGTGAGTGTCAAGTGACATGCTGTATCTAGTAGCAGCCCCAAATGGGATTATGACGTAAAGTGGACATAAGCACTGTACTGGGGTGCCACTGTCCCCCATCACTCCCAGATGGACTGTCCTGTTGCCAGAAAACAAGACCAGGGCTCGCACTGATTCTGCATTG